GGGGGGGGGGGGGGGGGGAGGGGGGCAGGGGTCCACGGCCATATGGCGTGTTCGTTTTGGTGCAGTGCGGTGGAACGGAGGGGGCAGCGGCGGCAGCGGCGGCTCCAGTCAGATTGTTGTTCATGTAACGGTGCGGCCATTGGCCCGTAGCGCTCAAGGGCTCGCTTCTTTCGGGTGGGAGGGGGGGTGTAGACACAGTGTAGCTCTGGACGCTTCCACACTGCCGCGTGGATTTGGACGGCCCAATCATGGTCAATCTTAATGTGCGGTACCCTCCCTGCCTTTTTCCCGTCCCCATCCCCCCCCCCCCCCCCCCAATTCAAACACTTTTCGTCAGGAAACCGACTTTCTCGTCTCCCCTCCTCCGTGGGAAGCCTCCACGGATTGGAAACCCTGGAGCTTAGCGACAACACCATCCGCTCTCTCCCCGAGTCGATCGATGGGCTCAAGCGCCTGGCGACGCTTACCGTGAGCAACAACGGTCTGGCGAGCCTTCCCGAGTCTGTGGGAGGTCTTCGTTCCGTGAAGCTGCTGGACTTTAGCCGGAACGGGTGAGAGGCCGTGCAGGCGTACCGTAGGAGGTGACGCAAGATACTGCACCCCCTCTGGACCGATTCTCAAAGCTCGAGTAGTCCACAGCAAAGAGGATGCCAAATCAAATTATATATCTTCGGAAAGCTCTCTACAAGAGACTTCCAGCTCCACCGCTCTCGGCACCGCCGTTACCTCTACCTTGGAGCTTTGAAAATTTAGTTTAGAGGTTTGAAAATCGGTCCGGGGGTGTGGTATCTACCGTAGTGTAGTCCTTGCCGGGGTGCTCACAGGCGGATATCCGCGAACATACGCGACGTAAGTGTGTAGTTGTGGACCATGTGCAACCGCTGTTGTACGTGCACCGTGCTGCCGTACATGATGATCGTCGAAAGTTGATTGGCCTTGCCACCATTATCCCATACATACGTGCATCGTGCTACCGCTGTACACGACAATTGTCGAGAACTAATTTTTCCTTTGCCACCACAATCCCATATATATGTGCATCGTGCTGCTGCTGCTACATGACGATTGTTAAGAATCAATTGGCCTTGCCAACATCGTCCCATACATACGTGTATCGTGCTGCTGCTGTACACGACGATTGTCGAGAATTGTCCTTTGGTACCTCATCTCGCTGCGTGTGCGTGCGCGATTCTGACTGCCTCCGCGCAGTATCGAGACGGTTCCGAAGAACGGGCTCGCGCGTCTCGGGGCTCTGACGTCACTTGATTTGCGGGAGAACAAGCTCACGGAAGTTCCTCCGCTCCCGGAGGGTGGCCGCCTTGCCCAGGCAAGTTGTTGTTGTTGTTGTTGGTGTTGATCTAACTTCTAGAAACGAATTGCTTGTCGTTTTTTTCGGCATTCTCTTCCGCGCAATAACAAAAACATTTTTTTTTCTTTTTCATGACTTTGAATCAGCGCTCACAACAGTTTTGCCGTGTAAATAGGAGCTCCATTCACATAAAAAACGTTAAATATCTCAAGTGGGTATTGTACTACGGTCCTTCTGTTTGACCCCGGCTGGTGCGCCAAACGAATACATCGAAAGGTAAAGGCTGGCGCCCAAAATAGATGAAACGAACGCTCACACAACGCTTGTTTTTCTTCATTCCCGTTCCATCATTTTGTTGGAAGGGGTGCGGCGACACCCGGAGATAAAAGCACGCCACCGAAAGTACTCGAAAACATTCATGCCCTTCTTTTTTGTTGGTTGTGTTGTAACACCTGGTGTGATGACGACGGCAAAAAAAATGTTTTGGGGGGTGAAGATGGGAAAATGGCAATGCGTTTGTTTTTTTTCCTCGCCAAGGTGTGCGTGCAAACACGGAGGAGGCGTGTTCCCCATTATTCTCGTTCCTCTCTCTCTATATATATGTTTTTTTCACGCAGGTTTTCCTGGGTTTCAACTTGCTCACCTCCCTCGATGGCGCTGCTCTCCTCGGCGTGTCAGCGGGACTCACCGAGCTTCACGTTCAGGTATATTTCCGATCCCACGAACCGGCACTTTTTTTGTGTAACGGCTGAGAAAAAAAGCCTTGTACCTGTAAGGGTGCTTGTTTGGTTGTGTGCCGTGGTGCCGCTCTGTGTGTGTGGAGAGAGAGTCAAGGCATCTTTCCGGTCTCACAGGAAGAGGTCTAGCTAGCGCGCGCTTATCTGTTTGTATACCCGTAAAAAAATCTTGCAGCTGGAAGGGTGTTTTTTTGTTGTTGTGTCGTCATGTCTCCCTGTGTTTGTGAAGAGATTCATGCACTTCGAAGGGCTAAAGCTTCGGTGGCGTGGACGGCGTAGACAGGAGAATGGCGCTCAAGTTTTGCGACAGCCCCTTCTACGATATCCCCATGGTGCTACGGCAGTCCTCCAACGTTCTCCTCCGTTCTGGCTAACCTCGGTCTACAAAAGAAACGTGTGGCCAATGGTCAAGAGTCTTTCAAAAGAAAACGCGTACGGAATTTTCCTGGAACGTTCTCCGTTCTGGAATTGAGTGCGCGCCCCCCCCTCCATGCCTTTTACCGGAACGTTCTTCTCCCTTTCGTGAGCAGAGCAACCGAATTGGCCAGCTGCCGGAAGAGGTAGGGTCCCTGGCTCGCCTCAAGACCTTAGACGTGTCCAACAACGATCTCGGCGAGTTACCGGCCGCCCTGGGTTACCTGCCGCACCTGCACCGACTTGCTGTTGATGGCAACCCGCTTCGGACGATTCGCCGCTCCCTCTTGTCGGGAGGGGCTTCATCGCTCAAGGTTTGTTTGCGTGGATTGGTGTATGTAGTTTTTGTTTATTGTTTGATGTTTCGAAACGCTCTTCATCGCTCAAGGTTTGTTTGTGTAGATAGGCGTTTCTTTTTTATGTGTCAGATTTCGAAACGCTTTTTTTGTCCTGTGGGCGGACATCATCGCTCAAGGTTTTTTTTTGTGCAGAAGTTGTGTGTGTAGGCTGCGTATTTTATTATATGATGGATGATTTCGAATCCCTCTTGTCCTGCTGGTGTCCTCAACCGATGTAAGGGCTGCTACTCATACCTGCTGCTAAAGGAGTAGACTAAAAGCATGGGGCCCGTGTTGGCCTGCCTGCTCCCCGATGAAAATACAGCGGATGCGTCCCTTCGCTGTTACATATGCGTACTCCATCAAATGAGATATTGATATCCTCAACACAGCTGTGTATACCCCATCCAGTTGCTTTGTTTAATCTATCCCCACCACCCTCAGTCTCTTTTTGTTGTGTTATATTCTACAATAACCCCACCACTCACGTATATTCTGCGAAATACCCCCATCCATTCCGTCGCTTTTTTTAATGTAGCCCCAACGCACCCTCCGGGCTGCGTATGTCCCCATGTATTTCGTTGCTTTGTCTGGCCGACCTAAATTCCTCGACAGAAATATCTCAGGACTCGAGGTCCGTGCCCCGACTATCCTGGACTGGAAGCAGCGGACGAGGACGATGATGCTGCTGCGTCTTCGGGTGGGGGGGGTCTGTCGGAGGATGCTGTTCAGGTAACTCAGGGTTGTCGTCGTCGTTGTTGTTGTCGTCGTTCTTGTTCTTGATCTTGATGGTATTGTTGTTGTTGTTGCTGCTGCTGCTGGCGCTGCTGCTGCTGCTTCTGCTACGGTTTGCTGTTGCTGTTGCTGTTGCTGGCGATTGCAGTCTTTATGGAGGTTTGGATTGTTGTGTTTTTGATTGATCTCGCGGGTGGCATGATGCATTTGATGCAGATGCTATCATGTCTTCAGTGTTAGCATCGATGGGATACGAGTCACGCTCAAGCCCTCCCCCCCTATTTCCATGAATGCGGACGCCATGTGCAGAGTTCATGCCAAGGGGTCCCCGCTGCATGTCCATCACGTCCCGACAGAGATATCCATTCCACGTACCCCCCTCAAGACTTCAACATATCCCCTTCGATTAAATTAAACGTTATATGTCCAACGGGTAGTCTTCCTGTGGTTGTACGTATTGTTGTTGTTGTTGTTGTTGTTGTCTTCACATAAAGAAAACGTTCCGTTCTCTCTACCCAGTACCTTCCTCTGTCCGTACTATGCATAGCTGTAATAGCTGTAGTACACCAGGCAGGGGTTAGGAGCGCTGGGGAGTCGGGCTGCATTTTCATCACGTTGCGACAGAAAAATGACCATTCCACGGACCCCCCTCACCAAAGAACCATACTGCTCTAAAACACGTATGTAGGCAGTGAGTAGGAGCGCGCTAGAGACTGGAACGCTGGACGTGGAGGGAAGGGGGATGACTTCGCTTCCTCCGGGGCTGTTCCAGGATGACCGCACGCTGTCGGCGGTGACCAGGGCCAAACTTTCCGGCAACAAGCTGCAGGTTTGGAAGTCTCATGCTGCTGCTGCTGCTGATTAGTTGCCTGCATTGTGTTTCGGGAAGGGGATTGTGTATGTATTTGCTGACAAGTGTTGGTTGGGAGGTGTCCGTCGTGCTGACGATACCGCTGCTGCTGCTACGGCTGTCATTTCGTTCCCAGCTCCTGCCTTTAGCTATTTAATATAATGGTCTATGTCTGTCTTTGCTGACAACTGGCTATCCGTTGGGATTGTGGGTATCTCCTCCGCCGTTGTGATAACATCGTTCCACACATACGTCGGGCGCGACTACTTATGTGCTGTACGCACGATATTGTCTTGTGTTCGTGTGGTTTTTAGCAGAGTCCTGCTGTGGTAGATGCAACCGCCCTTGAACATCTCAGGGATATTCATTTGGTAGAATAGAACCGCACGGCGGTGTTTTTTGTTTTGTTTTTATCACATGGTCATATACTAGTGCGGTGCGGTGCGGCCGAAAAACAATGGCACGGTGAATATCCGTGGAACGTGTGGCAGGAAAAGAGGACCCCGTGCGTCGTGCAGCAGTACAAGGTTAGTTTCTCGCTGACGGAAACAGGTGTAGCAAACTCTGTCCGCTTTTTAACCATGTGGGAACATTTGCTCCGTCGTCTCTAGGACGCGTGGTCAATGGTCGAACCGCTAAGGCATGCGAAACGCCCACCCCCCCCCTATGCGAGGTCAATGGTCTAACGACTACGGCATGCACGACTACAAACACCCCCCCCCCCCCGC